TGAAATATAGCAAGACTTGCATTGCCTACTAAGAAAGTTAGTAGCCGGTAGTCATCTGCTTAAACCATTCTCTATTTTTTTTACTTTCTGAAATTCCACTTTTATTTTTCACAGTTTTCTCCTTTTTACTTAATTATTATTATTATTATTCTGAATTTGTTTTGAATATTTTTGCATAATCTCCATCAGTTTAAAAATTTGACCCTTTCATTTTCCTGCATTTTTAAGTTTGACTACTGTTGATTTGTTTTCCAGTTTTCTTTATATCCTGATCTATGTTCATTGTCTCTAACCAGGTTTTCTGTAACAAACTGTGTAACTTTATCTTGAGTTTTCTCCTAAGTTTATTTCTTATTTTCTTCAAAACCTTTTGTGATTATATTTTTTGTCTTCATATACTGATTTTCTAGATATGTTATCCTATTTTGCAATTTTTGTATATATTTTTTCTTAAACTAGTAATTCTGGTCTTTTAATTTTTTCTGATTCTTACACTTTGATTATTTTCATCTTGTTTTGGAAATTTATTTTAGATTTTTAAAAAAGACACTTCTATCATCTTGTGATTCCTTTTTCATATGTTTGTTTTCTAATTTCATGGGTTTCAAATCATATTTCTCTTCTATTTTAATCCATATCTTCTTTCTAAATTAGTTTCTTCTATTTTTCTTTTTGTGATAGGTGATCTTTAGGTAATAATGTATTCAGTGTTTAAAAAGGTTCCTGACTACTCTAACCTTCCTTCCTGTTAACCACAAACTTTTCTAAGGCATTTGAACTATTCGATCTTACCCACATATTTATGTCAATGGCCTGTTCTTTCTATATAAAAGAAATTGACCTGCTCTTTAAACTTTTTAACGTATCATTAACTCTTCAAATTTTATATCTACTTCTTATCTTATTTCTGGCATTTTCTATCAATTTCTCTATCTTTTAAAATTCAATATTTTTTTACAGAACTTGGTTATTGCATGTCTTCCTCAATTTGTAGACTCGCATTGCTCCTTCCCCTGCCCTTTTTACTGGTTATATGAATTGTTTCAAATGCTCTTTTTTTTTCTCATTATCCAGCCCAACTGATTAGCTCTGGTACTGTATGAACAATCCTGTGAGCATTGACTTGTGGGACATAAAAGATAGATTTGAGATGATAATTTTAAATGATTGATTTTAAATATGAAATGGATGAATTTTTGGGAAATTGAAAATCTGCTGTGTTAATCATTTTTATCACAAACATTGGGCCTTTTGAAAGATATGAGTTATATACCAAGGTTTCAGAAAAACGAGTATAAAAATTATATATGCTAAGGTTTTAGATAGAAAAATGTATGTATGCTAATGTTGTAGCAAGACAAAGAGATGTTTAATAAATGCTGATTTATTAGGAAATATTATTCATATGGTGCACTTTTTAATTTGATGGTCGAAATTGAGAATAATTAGTGTTGTTTTTTTACAGATTAGAATTTGATGCCTATAGAAGTGATTTAGAAGAACTGATGCAGGGAACTCGAGGGGATGCAATGTCCTCCAAGTTGGATGAAGCAAGAAAAAACTACACAACATATAAAGAAAAGTATGAGAAACTTAGATCTGATGTTGCTGTAAAGATGAAGTTCTTGGAAGAAAATAAGGTTGGTTAATAAAACTTGGTGAGATCCTGTTTTGATGAGTATGTTACAATATATTAGTAGGTTCTTTAGCCCTTTTGCATCAGGTAGGTCAAAGTGCACATATCACAACGTTTTACAGAGTTACATTTAAAGTTCTCTCAAACTAGTTTATTATCAATGTGTACAAATGAACTTGCATGAAAATGTAGCTAATAAATCAAATGTTAATATTATAAAAATTTAAGTTTTCAATGTTTTTAAGGTAATATTCAAAAGAATTCTCAATCTCCCCTAGTATGAAAATTGTGACATTTGCTCTCTAGGTTTTCCCTCTTCTGTAATTTATTTACCACCCCTTCGAAAATACAGATTTTAGCATAAATTACTCATTATAATATACTTATTACTTAGGCAAAGCCATGGCCAGGTGGATAAGGAGCTCGACTCGCAATCTGAGGGTCGCGGGTTTGAATCCCCGTCCCACCAAACATGCTCGCCCTTTCAGCCGTGGGGGTGTTATAATGTGATGGTCAATCCCACTATTCGTTGGTAAAAGAGTAGCCCAAATTTCAAATGATTTTTTCAGTGAAACATTATATTTTATCTGTTATTTTCTCTACCCCAACTTTATACAAGGTTGGTCAATTTGACTGACCATATAACCACCAAAAAAAATATTAAATAAATTTAAATTATCTTTTTTTTCTTTCTAGAATGACTTCAAATAGCTTTAAACTCATAACAATATACATTTATTTATAATTAAATTTTGTTTTATTGCCCTTTGATCCCTGTCTAATTACTATTCATGCCTTTATAAGTTATAAATCACACAGCAAATGTACAACTAACATTACAATTATGCTAATGAGTTAAATTATGCACAAGCTACTTTGACAGATGAGCATGGCAGGAGGGGTCTGGTTGACTTTTTCATGGCTCTGTAATCAAATAAGATTGAAGGCTATGAAAATTATACTTTGCTTGATCGTTGACAATATTATAATAAGTCATATGATAAATTTTGTACTTCTTGGAGGGGTAATAAATAAATGAAGAGAAGAGAGGATGCATAGAGAACAAATGTCACAATTCTCACACTAGGGGAAATTCTAGATTTTTTTTTAATATTGCCTTAAAAAGTAAGAACTTAACTTATATACTATTAAAATATGGATTATCAGCTATGTTTTAAGGCTATATATTATTGATGTACTGTAAAATGACTGTAGTTTAATTAAATTCTGAATGTGACTCACTAAAACCTTGTGACATGCACAGAAACAGATACTCGGGGCAAGAGGGTTGAGTAATACTTCATTTCAGAAGGAAAGTTTCAAATTGTTTTTTTCCTTCATAAAAGTAAATATCATTTAGGTGATTCATTTTTATGCAATATTATTTACGAAAGTTCCTTCACATATATAAAGAAAAAACCACTATTGAACAGAAATTTTGAGTAGGACATTAAATTATGCTCATCCTGTAAAATTGAATGAATCTAATTTTACTAAAGGTGTATCTCAAACAACTGGCTGATTGCTAAAACCATTGTTTTGTAGGAATATTTTAAAGTGTTTCACCACATACATACATACATACATACATACATAACATTTAAGGACAACAAGGGACCTGTTGTCCCATCTTGGTCATCCCATCCATTAAACTAAACTTTAAAATAAAGATAAAACACTCAAAGCCAGCCCTTATCATTCAAATATTTATCAAGCCTTCTTTTAAGCTCACTTAACTACATCCACTACATCTGAAAGCAACCTATTCCAAAGGCCAACCACCCTGTTAGAAAAATATAGCTGTCTTAGCTGAAGATAATTCCTACACTGCCAGAATTTATATTTATGTTTTCTAGTCCTTCCATCTCACACTTCAACACTATCAATTCCCATAACAATTGTAAATACCTCAATCAGGTCCCCCTCTAACTCTGTTTTCTCTTGCAAAAAAAGTTCTGAGATACTAACCTATTCTTGTATGACAATACTTCCATCCCAGGTATCATCCTAGTATCCCTCCCCTGAACATTTTTCAACAATTCATTGTCCTTTTTAAAGAAGGGAGCCCAAAACTGAAGTCCATACTTTAAATTTGGCCTAACAAATGATCTAGACAAGGAAATTATAACTTCTCTAGATTTATATTCAGTATTTATGTAGATACAACCAAAAATCCTATTTGTCCTGCCTCTAGCAACAGCAAATTGCTTGGATGGTGGAAGAGACTTATCAAACACAACATCAAGATCCCTTTCTTTCATAGCACTGGTAGGGATATTTCCATCAGAATTATATTTACAACTCAAATTATGATATCCTATATGCATTATTTTACATTTATTATAATTAAAATCTACCATTCATTTGTCCAACTCGTCAAATAATCCAAATTCTTTTATAGAGCAGCATCCTCTTCCTCATGGCCAGCAATACCCAAACCCTTAATATCATCAACAGATTTCAATTTATTGACCATTCCTTCATATATACCATTGATTCAAATCATAAAGAGCAAAGGTCCTAACACTGAGCCCTGAGGTGCACCACTTGTGATATTAATCTACTTTGACTGAAGTCTATTTATAACAACTCTTTACTTTCTGGTTTTGTTTTCAGTGAGACAGCCTATCTCCCATACCTACAGAGATAATTTTAACAAGCATTTTATGTTGCTTCTTGTTAATTTGTGTCTGAATATCCAGATATACCAAATCACACCCATAAACTCATTCACATAAGCAGTAACCTCTTCAAGGAATGTCATAAGAATAGTAAGACAAAAATAATATATATAAGTTCTTGTTTTTGCCAATTGTTGAAATAAATGACTTTTAGTTATATTTCTTAATAATATAAATATATACTATGTTGTTGTTGGGCTTAGGATTCTTCTACAGTAGGTATCTGTGACTTGTTGGCGATAAATTCAACGATGAATAAACAACACACACCTTA